AAAAATCGTCATATCGTTTACTTGGAAAATTTGAAGCACGAACTCGTCTTAGATTTCACATAATATCTAAATCACATCATCTTTGCACATAACAATATACTTACTTCCTATTAAAGTATAAATTCTACAAATACATTCATACTCAACAATATTTAAAATAAAATAAGCCAAGAACGTTTATCGATAAAACCTACTAACATTAAAATTTTCTGGGCAGCACTAAAACCGCCATGTTTTGTGGCCAGATGACGTCACAGTGGCACGAATTTTTTGTTGACGTTTCATTTCCATAGGTTTCCTACTTCAGTGATAATCCCTCGCTATCGCAATGTAACTCAGTAATGGTCCGCTTTTTTGCGTTTATTATCTCGTCTGGTTGGCCTAAGTTTAGTATAGATATCGAGAACTGAGTGTGTGCGCAGAGGCATGGCGACGCTCCGCACGTCCCCGTGGGCGTGCACGGAGCCGGCCCGCGTGGCGCGCACGTGCGTGTGGGCGCGCGGGGGGGCGCCGCACGCCGAGCTGTCCCCGCAGGCGCTGTGCTGGCCCTCCTTCCACAGCGGCGTGGCCACCGCGCTGTGCCTCGTGCCGCTCGTGCCCACCTCCATCGACACCGCCTTCGTGCTCTACAACAAGCCCAGGGTCAGGGGACTCTTCTCATTTATTAGCTTAAGTTACTCAATTGAGATTAAAATTAAGGTCTTAAATAGATGTTTACTGGTGGTAGGACCTCTCGTGAGTCCGCGCGGGTGGGTACCACCACCCCGCCTATTTCTGCCGTGAAGCAGTAATGCGTTTCGGTTTGAAGGGTGGGGCAGCCGTTGTAACTATACTGAGTCTTTAGAACTCATATCTCAAGATGGGTGGAGGAAATTACGTTGTAGATGTCTATGGGCTCCAGTAACCACTTAACACCAGTTGGGCTGTGAGATCGTTCACCCATCTATGCAATAATGCTCGTCCCGCCTTCCAATCATAATACAAGTTTCAGCAACATGCAGTATGGTTTTACCAACCGACAGTATAATTAAAATAAGAATTATAGTATAATTACAAGATAGAATAATTAAGTAAATAACTTGAAGGTTGTACGGTTTGTCCACACAACCCTCCAATATTGAGCAATTGTTTATTGATATGATTACACTGATTGGTTACTGTTTATATGATAAAAATGACAATATGCGAGTACGCGACGCCTTGCTGATGGCGGTACACGAACTGACTCGAAAATGAATGACCTTGATGTAAAATGCCTCGGTATACAATATGATGTGCGCGCTGGTCCGAACAAAAGTAAATGAGATTCCAGTAATGGAATCTCACCCCGAGCTCCCAGATGCGTGTCGGGTCGGGAGACGCCACCTTACAGTACAGTAAGACTATTGGCACAGGGCACCGCAGAGATGTCGAGCGAACACGCCGGATTCCTCATGGGGCTGGGCCTCAACGGGCACCTGCGGGACATGCCCTTCATGAACATCTACGAGTACCTGGTCAAGTGCAACGAGATGATCAGCATCGGCCTGCTGCTGGGCCTGGCCGCCACATATAGGGGTGAGCGACTCTCTTGTTCTCTTCAGGGTTGTGGTGGATTCCAACCAGAAAAGTTATAGTTTCCGATAAACCTTCAGGTCTACTAGACCGTTATAAAGCCCGTCCAAGGTCCAGTTGCGGAGTCGCGTTTGTAACATCGACACGCCCTAGAGGTTTTAAAATGTCATATTTAAAATGAGTTCAGCAGCTCCTTAATTTATTGCCCGTGTAGGCAGACGAGCATACAGCCCACCTGGTGGTTAGTGGTTACCGTCGCCCATGGACTTCAGCAATGCTATGGCAGGGCCAAGCCGCTGCATACCGTTAAATGCTCTCCTCAAGCTTTGTTTGAAAAAGGACACGTCATAGCGTTCGGGAAACACCGTGGAGGGGGTAATATGGATGAACTTTACTCCGGTGGCGGGCGGTGATTATAGCCGCGTCCTAAATAGACTTAGATGTACTGTGTGACAGAGGATATGCGAGAGGAGCTTGTGAGTGCAGAGGTTAACGTGTGATAGGCCTCAATGCAAAAAGAGGTCACACTGCGCCGACCCCACGTAGTGGTATAATGACGAGAAGCAGAAGTCCACTAATTTCTCTACACATACTGTTAGAACTACACTACTGTTAGAAATGGAATAAAGTTCGCTAAAGGCAACTTCACAGTCCTCCAAACCAATTAACACTCAATCTTCTGAGAGAAAGTCACCAAAGACGTTTTTATCTAAAACTAGTGGGTGGCGCATTTACGTCGTAGATGTCTATGAGCTCCAGTAACCACTTAACACTAGGTGGGCTGTGAGCTCGTCCACCCATTTAAGCAATAAAAAAAAAACATAGATAGAATTAGTTACTTGTTACCGAAGTATATAATGAACGGATATTCTACTATCAGTGATTTCTTCCTATCTAAATCTCAAGTTGTGTACGCCACATTCAGCAGCGCATACAGACAGGGTTATTGAAGGCAGGTGAAAGAGATTCTCTAGCTAAACAGAACTGTGACAGCTTGATATCTTGGTATACACTGAGCAACTGCTAATCCTATCTTAGGCACAATGGACGTTCAGGCTACCAAAATGCTCAGCATCCACCTAGAGCCGCTGCTGCCCCCCACGTCGGTGGAGCTGGACATACAGCAGAACATCCTGGTGGCGGCGCTGATGGGCGTGGGGCTGCTGTACCAGGGCACCGCGCACGCGCACTACACGCAGGTGCTGCTCAACGAGATCGGTGAGCTCACTGTCAACTGATTTGTTGCTGAAGTCCTAGTGGTCTAAAAGATAAGACGGTGCATTCGTATTTAGTGATGCACCGGTGTCGAATCCCGCAGGCGGGTACCAATTTTTCTAATGAAATACGTACTTGACAAATGTTCACGATTGACTCCTACGGTAAAGGAATAATATTGTGTAATAAAAATCAAAATCCGCAAAATTATAATTTGCGTAATTACTGGCGATAGAACCTCTCGTGAGCTCGCACGGGTAGGTACCAATTACAAGGCCTATTTCTGCCGTGAAGCAGTAATGCGTTTCGGTTTGAAGGGCGGGGCAGCCGTTGTAACTATATTCAGACCTTAGAACTTATATCTCGAGGTGGGTGGTGCATTACGATGTGTAGTAAGCAGCACGGGTGCTCGCGTGCAGGCAAGCCGCCGGGCCCGGAGGCGGAGAGCTGCGTGGAGCGCGAGGGCTACGCGCTGGCGGCCGGGCTGGCGCTGGGGCTGGTGTGCGCGGGCGCGTGGCGGGACGTGCCGCGCCGCGTGCCGCACGCGCTGCGCACCTACATGCTGGGCGGCGACCGGCCCGCCGCGCACGGTCAGTGCACCCTCCCTCTCTACTATACTCCTACTGTGACTGCGGGGCGGGACCGTGTGCTGTGGGAGTGCGGGATGCTCGAGGGTATCTCGCGGATTGAGGAGGACCCAGTTTACCACGCGGACTTGGTCAGAGACGAGCGCAGCTTTTGGCACTTGCGCGAGTTTCCGCATGCATGACACGCCGCGCGCGAATCTCGCGAACTGCCCGGCAACGAAGACCGTTTGTGTCGTTAGCAGCCCCGGAAAGGGGACGATGCTTGTGGAGTGAAGGGGACGGCGTCAGTTTGTAAAACCGATCGATACGTAGGTGCCGTGAAGTTCATGCTTCGGTCCTGATAACCGCAAGCTTGGTGGGACCATGGGATGTGGTGGGAAATGTACTCTTATTGTGAAATACTACTTTTACGATCNCTCTACTATACTCCTACTGCGACTGCGTGGAGCGCGAGGGCTACGCGCTGGCGGCCGGGCTGGCGCTGGGGCTGGTGTGCGCGGGCGCGTGGCGGGACGTGCCGCGCCGCGTGCCGCACGCGCTGCGCACCTACATGCTGGGCGGCGACCGGCCCGCCGCGCACGGTCAGTGCACCCTCCCTCTCTACTATACTCCTACTGTCACTGCGGGGCGGGACCATGTGCTGTGGGAGTGCTCGAGGGTATCTCGCGGATTGAGGAGGACCCAGTTTACCACGCGGACTTGGTCAGAGACGAGCGCAGCTTTTGGCACTTGCGCGAGTTCCCGCATGCATGACACGCCGCGCGCGAATCTCGCAAACTGCCCGGCAACGAAGACCGTTTGTGTCGTTAGCAGCCCCGGAAAGGGGACGATGCTTGTGGAGTGAAGGGGACGGCGTCAGTTTGTAGAACCGATCGGAACGTAAGTGCCGTGAAGTTCATGCTTCGGTCCTGATAACCGCAAGGTTGGTGGGACCATGGGATGTGGTGGGAAATGTACTCTTATTGTGAAATACTACTTTTACGATCACAGATTTCGGACGCCATTTTGTAAAGTATACAATCACCACCATGAAGTACTTACTTGTTTCCACTGTTACTTTCCGGCAACGGGCCGGCGACGTCCAATGCGATTCTTTCCCACGAAACTCTGTATACCGTGTAATTGACTGATAACATTCTAAAATTGAATTTATTTCGTATTTTCAATACTCATATCACCCACCACCTTGTTTCTGTTTCCTTCATTAGTTTAAAAAGCCAGATTATTAGAGTTAGACACCCGGTTAGACACCCGGCTGTTCCATACCGGATAGCGCTGACGTGTGTCGCTCGGCAGGCGGGCAGCGCGAGCGGTGCAAGCCGGGCGTGAACCTGGACGTGACGTCCCCGGGCGGCACGGTGGCGCTGGGCCTGCTGTACCTGCGCGCCGGCCGCCGCGCCCCCGCCGCCTGGCTGCAGCCGCCCGACACCGCCTACCAGCTCGACTACGTGCGCCCGGACCTGCTCATGCTCAGGGTCATCGCGCGAGGTACACCGATGCACTTGTGTAGCCCACTGTACCTCTCTAACGGATCTGCGAACTACCCTCAACGATTAAAATAAAAGTTGTTAGTAGTGGTATGCGCGTCGTGAGCACGCGTGAGCATTGATAATCTACCGCGACGCATAAAGCAGTCGATAAATTAACAGACTAATCTTCTTGGGACCAAATACTAATGAGAGGCGGCGCTTGTGTGGCGATGTCCCGACGACCATTTAGTGGGTGAGCCGCAGCCTCTATAGAGAAACTGTTAGTCCTAAGTTTTGTTCCACGGGGATCGTTTTCGAATAATACCTCGATATTCTAAACTGAATGTTAGTAAAAAACAATTCATAAATTAAAATTTGTAAAATACAAAAGTCTAACTTTTCGAGGCGCCTTAAACGTTGGTAAGGATTCTTAAAAGCCCGCATGGGTAAATACCCCATCGCTGTGCCTATTCCTGCCGTGGAGCAGTAATGCCTTTCAGCTTAAAGGGTAGGGCAATCGTTGTACTGTAAAACCGAGATTTAGAATTTGTGGCTCGTGGTGGATGGTGGAATTACACGATACCTTGTGCTGTTACAGGCCTAATGCTGTGGGACTCCATAGAAGCTAGCGAAGAGTGGATCGAGGATCAAGTTCCAGAAACGATAAAGCCATACTGCTTCGTCAAACCGACCGAGGACAACATCGATTATGAAGCTATGAAGTAAGTTATTTATGACGGCAGACGACCCGCCTGATGATGAGTGGTTACCGTCGCTTGTGGATATCTAAAGTACCAGGGTCTCACCAGGAGACATCACAGAGCTGATTTTTTTTTATAGCTTAGATGAGTGGACCCACCTGGGGCTGTGAGCTCGCTGTGTTGGTTATTGGAGCCCATAGACATCTACAACGTAAATGGCGTCACCTACCTTGAGATATAAGTTCTAAGATCTCAGTATAGTTACAACTGCTTCGCGGCAGAAGTAGGCAGGGCGGTGGTGCCTACCCGCGGACTGATGTGTTGTGCAGCCAGGCGTACTGCAACATCGTGGCGGGCGCGGCGTTCGCGCTGGGGCTGCGGTTCGCGGGGTCGGGGGACGCGGACGCGCGCGACGCCGTGCTGCACCACGCGCGCGCGCTGGCCGCGCTGGCCGACACCGCGCTGGCCGAGCTGGCCGGCCGCTCCACGCTCGAGTACACGCTGTGCGTCTGTCTGCTGGCCGCCGGCATGGTGACTGTCCCGACCACACCCACCTACATCTTCAGGACTCAATCGATCGATTTGTTGAAGTGAAACTTTATGATTTCAAACTCGATGAAACGAAAAAATAAGTCCATAGAGACACAAACACATAACTGTGTAGGATTCAGCCGGCGAGAGAATGAGATAGAACACATTATACGTTAAGTTAAAATATCAATTCACAGAGGGCGCTACCTCATACTAATATGTAAAAGATGATTTACAATTATTTACTAATGACAAAATTTTACATATACTTAGACATTTAGGATAATAGTATTTTAATTTTTAAAGGTTTCACTTCTACCACGTGTGAATTGCACGCTTGTATTTTTTTCTTTTTTATTGCTGTATAAGCAAACGAGCATACGGCCCAATGGTGTCTGATGTGTGGGCTATCTAAAATGAAACGAGTGCTTTGGCCGACGATCGTTTATTGACTTGTCTTACTAATTACTTAATACAAAATACACTGGTTATACCTATACTACAACTAAAGTAACGTGTTGTTGCACACTACAGGTGAATGATTACCGTCACTCATGGACATCAGCAATGCCAGGAGTCGAGCTAAGCCACTGCCTACCGTAAAATATTATACCGTATAAATTTTTGGGAACACCCAATCCTTTTCATCTTTGATTATTTTTATCTTTTGTTAAATATGTATTCGATTTAGTAAATGTTCATTTAATAAATTTTGTGGAACGAGGATGGTGACCACTTCCCTTTGCCTTTTTTATTTTTATTTTTTGTATTACTAAATCTGTGTGTAAAGCAATAAATGAAATATTATTATTATTATAACTAGCTGACCCGGCAGACTTCGTAGTGCCTCAATCGATAAATAAAGGCCTGAACTTTTGTATAAAATAAACTTAAAACAAACAAAAGGAATCCGTCCGACGGGAGACACATCATAGGGAAAACAAAATTGTTATTTTTATTTAATTTCGAGCACTATTCATATTTATCTACCTTTTAAACCTTCTCTGGACTTCAACTCAACAAATAATTCAAGACCAAAATTAGCTAAATCGGTCCAGCCGTTCTCGAGTTTTAGCGAGGCTAACGAACAGCAATTCATTTATATATATATAGATTAAATGTGACGGGACGAGAGTGAGTGAGAGAGATGCGACAGTGTAACGGTGTGTGTGGTGGTAGATAATGGCGGGTCGCGGCGACCTGTCCCTGCTGCGCATGTGCCGGCGACTGCGCGCCCGCGTGCCCGCGCCCGGCGCCGCCGCGCCGCCGCTCACGCACGGCGGGCAGGTCGGTCACGCACAGCTGTTCACAGAAATTTGACTCTTATGTCATTGGAATAGAGCATATCCTTTCCATTTAGCTTCACTTGAAAGACCTTATTAACACTAATCATACCAACACTTAGTGATACCTATTTCTACCATAGCGGGTAGATAACGGTACACGACAAGTATTAGGTACTAAAAAAACCCAAAAAATAGTATAATAACTATAGATTAATTCGTAAGAAAAAGTCATGAAGTCAAACGTGCAAAAGCAATAAGGTGCACAATGCAAAAGTTCAAAATGGGTCATTTGACCCGTTATGGTATGTTTAGTGTTAAGGCCACAAGGTAAGGCTAAGTTCATATGACCGCGCTGTACCGCGTGGCGGAAGCGTTCACATGACAGAATATGTAGGCGCGACAGTCTGGCATCGACATTGGAGAATAGAATGGAAGAGGCAATTTGCTTATGGATTTTATACCGAAAACTGAGACTTCGGAGAAAAAGACAAAGACGATACTGGATGCAGCCTACTTTAAGCGAAAGACTTTCTTTTTTTGTAACTTTATATCCCGACCTGAGACTAAACAAAGATTTTTTTTTTAACTACTTTAGAATGTCAGTTGCGTCTTTTGATTTTTTTTATATGATTGCGTTGAAAACTGAACAGGTCTATAGTTCGATACAACGCGAAGCCAGGCGCGGTACAAGAAACGCACGCGGGTCGCAGCGCACCGCGCCGTTATGTAAACAATGAACACTGTTTAGATTGATCTTGTACCGCGCGGTAAGTAGTTCCGTCGTAGAGCTCGTCCACCTATCTAAGCCATAAAAATAAATAAATAAAATTCTATTTCTGCCGTGAAGCAGTAATACGTTTCGGCTTGAAGGGTGGAGCAGCCATTGTAACTATACTGAGACCTTAGAACTTATATCTCAAAGTGGGTGGCGCATTTGCGTTGTAAATGTCTATGGGCTCCAGTAACCATTTAACACCAGTTGGGCTGTGAGCTCGTCCACCTATCTAAGCAATAAAAAGTACCGCGCGGTCATATGAACTTAGCCTAATGCGTGTGGTGAAACCACCACTTCTGCCGCGTAACAGTTTCTGTGTGAAGTGTGGGACAGACGTAACAGCTACTGAAACTTCCTCATGTTTGACTCACAATATTTGAGTGGAAACGTGTTTATTTTATTTGTAAATTTATGAATCAGGATTTTTTTAAAGTATTTATGTCGAATAAGGTTCGCAGCGCATAAAATAAAACTTCCACTGTTCCAAAATCTTCTTTTATAATAATAATTTAAAAAATAATTAACACTTTTATTATAACGCCTTGCTCATTTTTTCAACCGTCTTCGCCATCTTCCTTTTCTCTGTCGTTCTGTCTGTAATTCTCTTCTCCCTTTCTTTCCGTTTCCTCTCACTCACACATCTTAACGCTCCGTTCCACGCTCTTCTCGTACGTTCCGTTTTTACCAATCGTACATTTGTATACTGATTTGCAGATGGCGATCCACTGCACCATAGGGCTGCTGTTCCTGGGCGGCGGGCGGTGCACGCTCAGCACCACGCCCACCGCCGTGGCCGCGCTGCTGGCCGCCTTCTTCCCCAAGTTCCCGACGCACAGCGAGGACAACCGGTGAGCCGCGGCGCCGCGCCCCGGGACCGCAGCACGCGGCCGCTTGTAACCGTTATGCGCTCTGTGGCCAGGTACCACCTGCAGGCGCTGCGGCACCTGTACGTGCTGGCCGTGGAGCCGCGCCTGCTGCTGCCGCGGGACATCGACACCGGCGAGCTGTGCTACGCTCACATACAGGTGGACGTCTGATCTGCAATCTAATCAAATCAAGTGAACATTGCAAACGAAAGTCGACCTTAAAGACCTGAATTGCAAGCGTAAATTGCCTTTTTTTCCTACCTAAGCTGATAGCCTTGAGAAGTTATTTCAGCGTAACGTAATTGGTAAGTGAGCTCACGGGGCTCAAACCTGACGACGTTGCTAACACGAACCCTAGCAAGAGCCGTGCTTCGCAGAATCTACCACCGGATCGGAAACGCGACCCGCTGAGAAGATCCGGCGAGAAACTCAGTGGGCTGTGGGTGTCTGAGGGTTAATTTACTCGTCGAGCCTTTCGTTGAACGATGACCGGAAAAGTCGCCCTTAAAGACTGAAGTGTGGCAGAAATAGGCAAGACGGTACCTTTTTTTAACACCGGTGTATCTGTTTACTTATACCCGGTCGAGGGGGTTAACAAAGCGGGCTATGTCGGACTCCAGCGCCCCCAGAGAAGAACACGGAAAAGAAGAAGATCGAGGTCCTCCAATCTCTTCTCTCTTCTTCCAATTTTAGCCGGAAGTTGTTCGTGAACACGCCAACAATAGCTTAAGACTTAAAAAACCCTTTCAATATACAGATTACCCTCATTGCTGTTCGCGACGGTGTAGAGAATGTTTGCTTCAGGTCATCGACCTGCAGGGCTCGGTGCGGCAGATGAAGGCGCCGTGCATCCTCCCCGAACTGGACAAGCTGAAGGAGGTCAAGATTGACGACCCTCGGTACTGGCCCATCACCTTCCAGAGGGACAGGAACTGGGACCAGCTCAAGTCAGTACCGTCCCACCGACACTAAATAACTTGAACAAATAACATAATATGCAATTATTTTAATAACTCAATAGTAAATAAAGATTTAAATATTCGGGTAACCCTCTTATAATGCGGTAGATACTTTCCTACTAAGTCCCGTGTTGTACGAAGCCGTGTTATATGAAACTAGAAGCCAGTACAAAGAGAAGAGTATTTTTGAAGTTAAACTTTTTTAGGCGCGTTAAAAATAAAATTTAACTCGCGACAGATTCGTTACGGCTAGAGAGAAAAGATACAACTTAGGACGAGCGAGAATGAGAAAATATACAGAACGTCTCGCGAACCACTCGACCGTGGAGAGAGGGAAATAACAAAGCGTGATAGGTCGTTTCTCTTATACACAGCACTCTCTATTACAAGAGAGATCTGATTTAAAAATGAAGAAAAACCACAATACTGCACACCGCAAAAGAAGTTTCACTTCTTTCACGTGCACCCGCATCATTATTTTTCTGAATGATACTTCTCAACTATGTCTCTATCACCTAGACCTGGTACAAAAATCTCGTTATCGTGTTTATTTATTAAGTTGCACCAACAAAGTGATCATAAATACAAAACATTGACAAACTGACTAAAGTTCATGGCAGATGTCACCTCAATTATTATTATAGGTGCAATCGATAGTGCATTAACAACAAAAATAAAAAAAAAACTTATAACTAAGATTTGATTACATTCGATTGAATGCATAAGATTAATTTATATTTAATTGGGAAATAATTCGCGACAGATATTTCCTGTAAGTTGTGAGACAATCGGAAAAAGACATCTATTTCACTTAAAATTAGTTGTTGAAGTACAGTGTTATAACAAGGTTTTGGGGAAATTTTCTTTTCACGTTAAAGTGGAACGGTGTTGTAGAGTACCGTGTTTTAGGATGGCTAGCTGCAATATAAAAATATATATAAAGTATCTTCAACACTGAAACCGCTCTGTGAATATTGATGATTTTCTAATCGAATGTGCTATTGTGATGAATGTTCCCAGACTGTTCCTGGAGTACACGTGGTGTGTGGAAGTGAAGCAGCGCGCCGGCTGCCTGCCGCACCGCCACGACCCGCACGGCTTCCTCACCATGCTCGCGCAGTCGCTCACCCTGGACAAGGCCAACACCTGGTCCATCATCACCCAGAACATCGAGCTGTTCACCAACGACGACAAGATCCGCAGCTTCGCCAAGCGCTACCTGTGGGCGGAGGCGGCGCGCGGCTGCGGGGAGTGCGGGGAGTGCGTGCCGGCGCAGCGGCGGCGGCGCGGGGGGCGGGGGGAGCCGCGCCTGTGGAGGCCGTGCGAGTGCCGCCGGTACTCCAAGGACGAGCAGGACTACGTGCAGGCGCTCAACATGGTCACCTACGAGTGCGTCGTCAAGGACATCCTGTGCGCTCTGCCGATATGGACTACTTTTTTGAAGGTAAATAGCCATTCACTTCTTAATGTTAGTAGGCAGGTTAGTAGTTGGTAGGCAGCGGCCTAGCTCTGCCCCTGGCATTGCTGAAGCCCATGGGCGACGGTAACCACTCACCATCAAGTGGGCCGTATGCTCGTCTGCCTACAAGGGCAATAAAAAAACCTTTTGTGAGTTCGCATAGGTAGGTACCACCACTCTGCCTATTTCTGCCGTGAAGCAGTAATGCGTTTCGGTTTGAAGGGCGGGGTAGCCGTTGTAATTATACCTTAGAACTTATTATCTCAAGATGGGTGGTGCATTTACTTTGTAGATGTCTATGGGCTCCAGTAACCACTTAACACCGGGTGGGCTGTGAGCTCGTCCACCTATATAAGCTATAAAAAAAAACATTAGTGCGGTCGAAGTCTGGTGTACAAGTCTCGTGGTCTTGTACAGTGACGTCATCGTATAAGAGATTGCACATTGCAACATTGCTTCCGCAGATAATAAAGACAATGAAGACGGATCCGTCGGCGTACCACACGTGGCAGATGAAGCTGCTGCTGTCCCAGGTGGAGCAGCTCGACAAGCGCAGCACGGCCGAGATGAAGGTGGACGGGCTGGAGGCGCACAGCGAGCCGCTCGTCTCCGCGGAGTTCACGCTCGCCATCAAGCAGAAGGTGGCGCTCGCCTTCGACGCCTTCGAGCTGAGGCTGACCCCGTACCTGCGCAAGTACGTGGGCCTGCCGAGCAGCAGAGACTTCAATAACTGCGAGCCCTTGCTCAAGAAGGCCCTGTCCNGCAGCACGGCCGAGATGAAGGTGGACGGGCTGGAGGCGCACAGCGAGCCGCTCGTCTCCGCGGAGTTCACGCTCGCCATCAAGCAGAAGGTGGCGCTCGCCTTCGACGCCTTCGAGCTGAGGCTGACCCCGTACCTGCGCAAGTACGTGGGCCTGCCGAGCAGCAGAGACTTCAATAACTGCGAGCCCTTGCTCAAGAAGGCCCTGTCCGCGTTCCTCGTGTACCACGACATCAAGCGGGGCGAGCTGCGGGGCTGCGCGGGGGAGGAGGGGGGCGCGCTGGTGCTGGCGGGGGGTGCTGGGGGTGCGGAGGGGGCGGCGCGGCTGGGGGCGCTGCTGCGGTGATGCTCGACGCTGCGCCGGGGCTACGTGACCCGGGCGCGGTGCCGCGGGGACTGCGTGCACGACTGGTGCTGACGGACGCACAGACGTACTTGCTTTCAATCTCAATTTGTGTAATTAATGTTTGCTCAAGCTAGTACAGTTAGTACCGTAGATTGGAGGGAATAGGAACAAATCTGGGTTGTCACAATGCTTTTGTGGAGATTTCAATTTGTTAAATTTTAAAGGACTTTTATTTAGTGTTTATGAATATTAAATAGTTTATTTTAGTCATCACAGTTTTGTAACTGATTAAAGATATTGAAAAGTTAATTACTTAGAGGTAAGTACCTGCCTAACGATTAAACAGTGCCAGCCCTATCGAAAAACTCTATTATCCTCATATGTGACCTGATTCACCCCAAAAGCCAAGGTGGATCAGGACAAGCTAGTTTTTTTTTAATGTTTTTGTGTATATTTTTCAATGAACTATGTATAATAATGCATCATATATGAAAATTTTAACCTTCGGAATCATTTTAATCTTAATTTTATTGGTATTACCCTAAGATTTGCAAAGCGTCCCTAGTTCCCCCAATCTACTATAACCAAATATTATGCGTTCAACTAATTCTCAGTCCACTATAAAATCATTAAGATTAAATGTACTAATTAGTATAAATACAAGCTATAAAACAATTCTACTAAACGTGAAGAAGTTTTGTGACAATGTTACTTAGTGTATTTGTGTGAAAACCATAGCGGTTTGTCATTGAACTGACTTTTATATCATTTCCATATACTCGTCGGTCATTAGTATTCTGTTTTGTTAAATTAATACAATTGTTAATTAATATTTTGAATTACCTACCACAAGTATCCGTCAGCGAATAGGAAATAAAAACTGTGTGATGAAGAAATGGAAATATGTTTTATTCCGTGTCAAAAAGAGACTGGAGGTAGGACCTCTTGTGAGTCCGCATGGGTAGATACCACCACCCTGCCTATTTCTGCCGTGAAGCAGTAATGCGTTTCGGTTTGAAGGGTGGGGCAGCCGTTGTAACTATACTGAGATCTTAGAACTTATATCTCTAGGTGGGTGGCGTATTTACGTTGTAGATGTCTATCGGCTCCAGTCATCACTTAATACCAGGTGGGCTGTGAGCTCGTCCACCCACCCATCTAAGCAATAAAAAAATAAAAAAGAACACCCTATAGTGTTGTGTTTGTGCGGAAAGGAAACAGAACACCCCCTATAAGTCGCAATAAAAATAAAACAATAAATACTTAAATCTCAAAACTATGTGAGATAATTAATATAATTATTCCTTCAGTAAATGTTTTACATTCTTCACTAAACTTTAATCAGTAAACCACTGAACTGACGCTGTCAATAACAAAATTACGATTTCACTAAACAACTTGTGCTGGGGTGCGTCAATATGTATTTTTTGAAAATTTTAATTGGTATTTGATAAATAAATAATATTTGAGATGTTGACAATATACTCCAGCATGATTCTTAAGCAATAAATAGATGGACAGCGAATCTACCAGCATCCTCCAGACGGACAAGACGCTTGGGCCGCAGAAATGGACATGGCAGTGGACTTGACGGACAATAGGCAAACGGCCTGTTTATATTGCAGCTCTGACGCTGACTACCCTTCATCCACTCGAATTTCAACCCTCGGACCGGCACAGTTCCAAAAATTGTCTAAACCAAATTAATCTTAGCAGAACTTAAGTGATAATATGTATTTTTAAATTTTAAATAAAACACATTAATGAATAAAATAGTCATATTTATCCCGATGAGAATTTTAAGCCAAGCTATTGGCTATTGTGATGATGGGTCGTTCAAGTAAATAAGTCGTCTTGAAGTCAGTGAAAATTACATTGAAATATTCCTCTACTTGACAAAAAAATTCGAGTTATAACAGTAATAGCGTTTTAGAAATAAATATATTTTGTAAACATGATTTTGGGTTGTTTTATTGTATCCCTTCGCACACGTACATAATGTCGTACATGTCGAGTCAAAATGCTTTCTTTGTCACGGCCCTAGTGTTAAACGGTTACCGGAGTCCATGGACATCTACAACGTAAATGCCGCCACAATAGCGGGGTGTTACGAGCCTTTTTTTTAACGCTGGTGAACCCATTTACGGATACCAGGTCCGGGGGGGTAACGAACCAAATTGTGTCAGACTCCAGCGCCTCGCGGGAGGAAGAGGGAGACGAGGAGGGCCAAGGTCCTCCACCTCCCCGAATTCCTCGCAGAAGACTACGCCTTACAAAAGGCGCGCGAGGCTCTCGCCCCGCATAACCAACTACCGACTAAACCCCATCGAGCTCCACCACGCCGGCTACACCAGACCTACGGTACCGCAGTGCGCGCCGAAAAGGGGTGTCACGACCCTCATTAATGAGGAAAGCGACGCGAGTAGTAGAATTGATTGATTAGTACTTATATATTATCGTCGGTTTTCGCAAATCCGTAGTATTTAATAATGGTACTCTTATAATTAAAACCACATAAACCTCTGAGCGCCGTTCATGCCAACAAAAACTATGAAATATAATCTGAAATAAAAAATAAAACCGTAGGTAAGAAATCTTTTGATTACGGTTCTAAAAACTGAATTGATATTAATTTAAAAAAATTGTTCGTCATTACAATTTTTTTTTTACTGCTTAGGCTGGTGGACGAACTCACGGGCCACCTGGTGTTAAGAGGTAAACGGAGCCCATAGACATCTACAAGAAGAAGAAGGTTGGTATTTGGTATTTGTATTTTGACCTCATACGTTTTTCAAAACTTGCTTTAATGCTAAACTGCTGCCATACAGTGGCGGCGTCTATTATATAATATATTATATACCTACATTTTTTTTATTGCTTAGATGGGTGGACGAGCTCACAGCCCACCTGGTGTTAAGTGGTTACTGGAGCCCATAGATATCTACAACGTAAATGCGCCACCCATCTTGAGATATAAGTTCTAAGGTCTCAAGTATAGTTACATATATCCGGTAACCGCTTAAGACCAAAGTTTCAACCAAGACCTTAAGTCCGCTGGAAACTGGCCCATCTAAGCCAATATCAAAGGCATATGAGCAGGATATCGTTAGCGCACGTACGCCTAATCCTATCGTTCGTACTTAGTTTTATCAACCTCGTGCGTTATAATACGATAAGTTAATTATTAATTGAACGTGTAACCGGACTAATGAGTAAAAAAAGCCACTGAAATCTGTATATAAAGGTTCTTTTTGAATGACGGGCGATACAAGATGAGAGCCTAGTTTAATTGACATCAGGCATATTTTTAAAAAGATAGAAGTTCGTCACCCTAGACCAGCTGACTTTGGAATGAGCTCCCCTCTACGGTGTTTCCCGAACGCTATGACATGTCCTTCTTCAAACGAGCCTTGTGGAGAGTGTTAAGCGGCAGGCAGCGGCTTGGCTCTGCCCCTTCCATTGCTGAAGTTCATGAGCGACGGTAACCACTTATCATCAGATGGGCCGTGTGCTCGCCTGCCTGCTCGGGCAATAAAAAAATAAGAAAACCAAATCTTTTGTATCTGTGGTACGCACTGAACCTCTAGAAAATATAAAATATTTAGTTTAATCAATAAAATATTTTACCTATATACCTACATAAATTTATAACGAATGTATCACAGTAGATATTTCTCATTAAGTCTTTCACACAATACAGATAATATAAATAACATCGCTACCCCTTTCAATAGTTTTACCGTAGGTACGTATTGTTATAATTTAAACAACCCTACTCTTTACGTTTTGGGAGAAAAGCAAACGACTTATGCGAACGATGGGGAGACGAGCTCACGGCCCATCTGGTGTTAAGTTATTACCGGAGCCCACAGACATCCAAAACGAAAATGTCGCCAGCCACCTTGAGATACGAGTTCTAAGGTCTCAGTATAGTAACAACTAGAATTCAACACATACCAACGTATTGTTACGCGCTGGGGTTCGGTATAAATAAAGGCTACCGAATTATAAGTTTACACTGTATTCAACTTTTAGAACACTTAAAACACTCAAAAAAAACCCTTAAAATTCTCAATTCACTTCTTCCGCTTCGCTTCAGGTGATCCGTTCGCTGTTTCGCTTCGAGTAGTTCCCATTACTAACTAACTGCGTGCCATCTCTGCAACGCTTTTATAGCCGATACCATATCCCTAGAATTATCGAGAATATTCCACACATCTCTAGTATTGTGTTTCCGATATCTGACAATAGACGGCGTTGTACTTCTCGAGCGTTCTAGGTGCTACTAGATCCTTCGATATTCGTTCTACTATTCGGCGATAGATGGCGTTACTCTTACCGGCGTAGCACTATGTATTTCCTAAGAACAATGTGGTTCTAAAGTATCAGTTTTACAGTTCAACGACTGCCCCTCACTTCAAACCCAAAAGTATTACTCCTTCACGGTAGAAAGGCAGAGTCGTGGTGGTACCTAACCGTGCGGACTCACATCCTAGCACCAGTAATAATTGATGTAGGTAGGTTATTTGTGACATATAACTAACTAGGATATAAGACCAAAATATACATAGATAATGTGTACCTATAATAAGATTAAGAATTTACATATTATAATCATATAAGTAGTATTACGTTTTTGATAAAATAATCTGTAATTATTTATGAGATAGTATTTATTTTGAATAAGTAAATAATTCATTTCATACTGTTTTGAAGACTACTTTGTCTTGATAATTTATGTCTAAGAATTATATTTTTCTTTAGTAACGCCCGAAATCATTGATAAAACTGATGATAGTAAAGAATCAAATTCATAATGGTTTATTCAAATAATCCATGATTAAAATCTAGATTTGAATATTTAAAGAATCTTTTCATATTTATCTGCATCAAATCAATGTTAACTTTAATCAGTACGATAGTACTTCCTACAATATTATCATATACCTATGTATTACGTGCTTGCCTGTATTCTTCGCTAATTACATTCAGGCGACAGACAATATGTTTACGATAAATAAATTTTTAGTGTTTTTAATTTTTTCCCAAGTAGTCTATGGTGAGTTTTTATAAAATGTCTAAAGAAACACATACAAAAGGAACACACACACGTAGAAATGTGACCGTATTACAATTGGTAATGGTTTGATGAGTCTCTCCTGATTACGCAGGAGCCAGTCACCGTAGACACCTTACATAGACACAACCTAACGGATCCATCCACATTAAAACGGTACGCGACTGTGCCGCCTTCATACTCTTGAGTTGTTTGGTCTCCTTCGGAGGCGCTCGGGAGGATGTTAGCTAATCCCACTCCTCCTAATGAAACTGGAGAGACCTTAGGGCCACCAGTAATCCTTTAATCATTAAAAAAAGTTGAGTCAAAACCTTAGTGCAGGATAGGTATCTAATGTTTATG